GTCTGACAGTGTCATAATCCACATGGACATTTTGACTGTGTAGTCTTACCTGCAAGCTTCTGATCCATCTGCATTCACTGCCTAAGGCTAACCAGCCCCATTTCAGGTGTCACAGTCAGCTGTATAAAGATCGTTGAATGGCCTCTAAGCCTAGATCTCTCAGAGTGTGTGTTTTGCCATAGCATGTAGTATAGTCAATTGGTACAAGATGAATAATGAAACTAGTTGGGCAGATAACTAGCATGCTGGCCTCTCAGACAAAACAATTTGGAAGTCTAAGCTGCAACATGGCTACCAGGATAGATTCAGCAATTATCCTATGCAGTGCTTGCCCTAACTGACTTGGGCATTTCAGTATCTTAGGAGAGCCTTTGACCTCTCAAAGCAAACAGCTGCTTGGTATGCATCCCTCCTGTCTTGAGGTCTGGAAGAAATCATGTCAGCACAAATTGTGATGCCCCCACAGTGTGTCGTTAATGTTCATGTGGAGTCCAGGTGTGCTGTGCTGCTGTACCTCCAGCCCCACTGCACATTCTAAAGACAGTGATTGGTGCTTTTCCTCAGCTGAAATTCCAGTCCTACCTTACATCACCAACCATGGGAAAAGCTGCCACCAGTCATCCTACCAAACATGTAGGATATTTCCTACATATCCAAGGACATATATTTGGGTGGTCCTTGAATGTACTGGGCATTCAATCCTATACTTTTTTCTCCTATTTTTCTTCCAGGAATATTAAGCTAACCAATATGTGGCAGCAAAGAGTTGCAGTTTTCTATATCTCTTGGGCGTCGTCTAGTGGTGTAGCAGCTAAATAAATGCGGTGAAGGGCGGGAATACAAGGGAAAAAAATGGGGTATTTCTCAGGAATATAGAGCTACACATTATAGGTTGATAGGTGGATGTTCCTGGTAAAATTGATTAGAAAAAGTGGCTGTGGAGCCTGGGGTCCTGGTCTTTCAGTGAAAGCAACACTGCAGTATTGCCCAATATTTGATATGATCTCATATCTGGACAGAAGGAGGTGTTATTGCAGTGGAGCTGCCAGGCCAACTGGAGATGATCAGGGGGTTGATCCTGAACATGTCATCCAAAGGCTCCTTTTCCAGAAGACCTGGAATGTCTGCATGGGAGATCTTGTGTTGGGATATGAGAGAAGAATTACCTTCACACTGGCACACCTTATAATGACTGCTCAGGAGTGGGCTGGCAAAACGATGGAGATGATGCTGTGAAACCTGACCTCCACAAGCAGTGAGTGGTGCACTTCCATGCTGCAGCACATAGGACAAGTGGGACATGGACTTTTTTTCTGGTATTTGGAAACATACAGCCAGGATTTGCATTTAGAATCTTGTATGTGTGAAACCTGGGCTTTTCAATCACATGTAGCCAATGAAAAGATATGTCTGATACTATAAGGTTGATAAATGACCCATGATGTACTTCTTGTAGCTGCTGATGTGGCTGGATAGGCTGGTAGTAACTCCAGTGGAAATCAAGATCTCTTCATTTTGCTTCTGAAGTGGTTACTACTTGCTAAATGTAAACTGGGCTTAATTCTTGTATTTTTCCCAGCCTGTTGCTCTTAGAAAAAATTCAAGGTCCTCTCTTGAATTTTAAATCCGAATGCTTAATAACTGTCCAAATTGCTATGTGAGTTTTGTGTTTAACATCTTATCCTTTTTTTAAACCTTTTTTTTTTTTTTTTTACATCTACAAGTGCTTATGAAAAATAATTGTGTTCAACAAGCATAACAGAAGTTGAATTCATGGAGATTTCCAGTAGGTGAATTCTTCTTGTCTTGAAACACAGTTGGTCATGAAATAGTGTGCGTTGTGTTGCCAGCACACTTGAGAGGTTGCATATAACATGGAGAGATTGCATGGAAGTACACTCTCTTGATGTGAGTGGATTGGTTCCGTCTAAAGATAAATGAGTCACAGATGCTGCCTTCATGCAATCCAGTGGTTGATGTGGTACTGCAATGTTGCCAGTAACCCTATGTGGCTGACACTGTTGTCCTGTTTTGCACTTGTTGAAATAGTATCTTTCCCCTCAACTTTTCAGTTGGATAAATCTAAGATATAAAGTTACAGAATTCTAAGAAGATTGCTGATGTACTAGTACCATAAGGGGGAGGGGGCACTAACACATGTATCATGATGTCATTGGTGAAATGGCTTGACTTTCCTACCAGCATCAGGCATCATGATGGGATTGACCTAAAATATATAATCACCTCATTTGCATAACAATGTAATGATGCATGTGTGATCAACATGGCTTGTAATGAATACCTATTTATTTATTTAAATTATAAGGCTGTCTGTCTCCTTTGTGACTCTGGGTGATAAGCAATAATAAAACAATTCAAAAATACAAGCAAAAGAACAGCTGGTGTTGGGAAAAAACAAAAACCAAATCTACAAGTAAGTCCTAAAAAAAGCCATATCACACACAAGGGCCTCCCACCCACTCAAGCTGAAGACCTGGGGGAAGAGCCAGTTTTTAAGGGCTCTTTTGAACAAGGCCCAAGGTGGGAACCAAACGAATCTCTGGTGGGATGCACTACTTCTGAGTAGCACTATAGGACTATTCTTTATTTGTAGCAATTCTGTTTATGTGAGGTTTAATTCGTCTAAATTCGTTTAATCTAGAAATATATTTGCATCCCAAACGCATGGCAAGGATGAATTATATGTTTCTAGGGTTTCCAAACTCTACCTCATCATTGTAATTTTTCTAAAAGTAGTGATTTGCCTAGATGGAAGTTAAATGGTTATTCTTTCTGCTGCCTTTGGATCCTTCTGTGCATACTATTTTAAATTATTTTTTTCTGCAGTCACAGTCTGAAAGCTAGAAACATTACAATATATTTTCATTCATGTTTTGAAAATGGATACAATGGTCAAGCTAATAATTTAAACTGAATTAAATTAATTCAACTGTGCCTTGAATGTTTATCACATTTTATTCTTCCTATTTCAATGTTCATGAGAGTTATCATAAATGTTAGATATAATTTTGCTTTGCCAATGACACTATACTTGTTCTAAATCAGTGTTCCATGTACGGTATGTGGAAGAAACACTAATTTTGGTTTGGGTACTGTATAATGCAGCCTATATTTGGTATACTTTTTTGTTTATTTTGCTATATATACACAAAACAAATTTGAATATCTAATAGCAGATGGAAGAATAAAGTTAGAAGGTAATGCTCAACTAGTTCTGAGTACAATATTTATTAAAGCAAATCATATTTGTTTTAAAATGTAGTTTCAACTAATGGTTTCCATAAATGATATTTTTTGTTTGCTTCTTTTTCACATGTAAATTCCTGTAATCTTTCTTTCCCAACTTTCTTTGTTTTAGTAGCTTCACTGAATATACTCTGGACTCAATCTGGAGAAAGGCACGCTTACACTTCAAAGAAATTAAAAAATATACTTATTAGAAGATTCCTGATGCTGAAGCTTAAGAGATCTGTGCCTCATCAGTGCTTCTTTTGGAAAATATCTGGGGCCCTATGTATGCCATCCTGAGTTCCTTGAAGGAAAGTGTTGATATATTTACTGGCCTTTTCAAGTTTGTACCGCTTATTATTCCTTGGGGTAATAGAAACAAGATCCAGATCCAATGGGTATTGCTACTGAAGCTGAAATCAGTTTGGCTTGTCAGGCTTTTAAATCAAAGCAGATCTGGTGTGCCATGTTTATTTAGATTCATCAGTGTACCAGTTTTCTTATATGATTATGAAGCCCACCATTGCATTTGATGGAGCTCAGGCAGAATATATTTGTGAGGTCTTGGGCAAGGTACCACACAGGCTGTACATTTCACCTGGCTGCTCTTGTCATCTTCCCCACATTCCACTGACCCTTCCCTTTGTGCCCTCCCTTCCCACTTCATTTACAAATGGAGTCAAGAAACTCTCCTTTTCATCTTTTGAAACAAGCTCTATCCTCTACTCAGAACTAAATCAGATCACATTCAACAGACTTCCTCACAGCTGAGGTGTGCGTGAAGGTAACAACAGCAGTTGGGTTGGCAAAGTTAATTGCAGAAATGATTTTAGCCTGTCCACTCTTTTAATTTGCACAGAAATACTGAGTATAGCTATGGCAGCTGCAAGCCTGAGACATATTGCAGGGTATTTGCCTGGCAGCATCTGGCTCTTGTGTGGGAAACAGAGTACTGGGTAGTTTCCTTTAAAAATATTGGGAATAGCTGCCTCGAGCTAGGTGAGCATGACATTTGATTCAATCGCCTAATAAGGAGACCTGTCTGAAAAAGCTGCTTGAAGGTTCAGTAAGGCGAGAAGGCAAAACACACAGAGAACAGACCTTGTTATCTATCTGAGATCAGGATTAGCTTGTTCGAGTGGTGTGTTTAACATCTGTGGCTGGCAGGCTTGGAAGCAAGTGTAGCAGCCCAGATGGAGGGATTCTCCTAAGTCTGAAGGAGCGGAGAAAGAGAAGGTGGAGGAGAGACAAATAAGGACCAGGAGTTAGAAGCCGTTAGTGTCAGAGTTAAGGAAGTGCGATGCGTTCACTTGAGGGGAATGTCACTCTCCCCCTGCTTCTCCTTACCATGGGACTGATTTCTTAGCGGATGCGGTAGGAAAGGAAGAAAAGAGCGGATGGCCAAGGAGAAGGCGCCCGTGGCCTCCAGCTCTTCTCTTCTCCTCGCCTTCCCGCAGGACACCCGGGGCCTAAGCAGACAGACTCTCGGGTTCGCGCCATTCCATTGTCTCCCCCTCCCGCCTGTTTGGCTTTTGAAAAGAAAGCGCCGAGGATGTTAGGCGGCCAGCAAGGGATCGGGAACCGTCAAAGTATCGAGGAAGAAACCCGCTTTTGCTTCCCCCTCTCCACGTGGAGACGCGCGCAAAAAAGTTGAGCGAGCCGGAGCTCCGGGGGTAGCCTGGAAGGCGGCAAAGGCGCTCCTCGCCTCTTCCCCCCGTTCCCCTCCGCAAAACCACGAAGGAGGCGGCGGGGGCGGTGAAGCAGGACAGTCCGGCAACATCTGTAAAAGTTGGGTGGGAGGAGGAAGAGGCGTCGGCCAAGGAAGCAGTGGAACCGACAACTTTTCGAGCACGTGAGTAGCGCGCTGAATGTTTTCTGTGGGATAAATGGGGGGAGGTGGGGGGGAGGACAAAACCCTCTCTCAGGATCCAGCCGCGGCAAAAATATTTTTTGTTCAGGGCAAGTTTTGATTTACGAAGGAGCGGCCGAGATTTCTTCCTCTTTTCCCCCTTGCTTCCCCGGTTTGCTGTTGTTGAGCCGAATCAAAGAAATGTCACTCAGAGCTAGTGAGTCAGAAGGGATCGGATTACAGGATCCCTGGAACTGATGTAAAATCTTGGAGAAAAGAGGAATCGGCATACACAGACACAACAAGAGGGCGAGCGAGTGCGCGCTCCCTGTGTAAGAAAGGCAGAAATATAAAACAAGATAAAGCCCGCACCCTCCCTCCCTCCTTTCCTCCCCCCTCCTTTTCGTCCTCCCTCCAAAACAGAAGCAAAATGCCCTCTTTCATCCTCGGGGATCGGTGCTGTTAAGACTTAGCCGCGGCGGAGCGAGCGCTCGCATTGTGTGCAGCGAGAGGCGTGCGGCGGTGAGGGCCCCGATCTCTTCCTATGGGAAGTTTGGGGCGCCTCCTGACCTCAGCAGAAGCGGCGGCGGCGGCGGCAGCAGGTACGTGGTCCTGACTCTGTGTGTGTTGGGGGGGTGTGTGTGAAAAGTTCTTTGTTTAACTTGCAGCACGCCGGACTTGCAGAAAAGAAGCCAGAGTGGATTTTGTTTTTACAGAAGAGAGGGAGGGAGAGCCGCCTTTCTCATTCTGTACTTGATCTCTTCATTTCTTTTTAGTTAGTCTAGAGGATGGGAGGCCAGGAGGGTGAAGAATTAAGGACTTCAAGTGGCTCGCAGCTTGTTGGGAAGGGGGAGTCTAAGGCTGCGAGTCTACGCACGCTTACTTGGGAGTGGGTCCCGTGCCATTAAAGTTAGTCGAAGTTCTGTCCTATGCTACGGAACTTACTTTGGAGTAAACGGGCCGGATCGGGCTGCGGAAGGCGAAACCCGGGCATATTTACCCTCCTCTGTCTTGACTTGCAAGGTCTGTTCAGCTCCAGCCTAAAAGGATTTGGAGGCTTAATTTCCCACAGTTCTGTTGAATTGCACATTTTGTAGGCTTGCAGCAGCTGCTTGGCCTCTTCTAAGTGGGGGGAGAGGAAGAGAGGGGAAATAGCATTTATTTTCCTGCCAGCAGTTTCTGTGGTGGCTGGAAGTTTGCCACATCTGGAAGGTTGAAAGCAAGTGATCGGATGTGGTACTGTACACAACCTCCTGCTACTATTTGTAGTGGTAGGAAGGATGCCCTTTCAATTTGTCCCATTTCTGACTTGGATTCCTTTACTTGAAGTGCCTTAAGAAAGGGAGGTGGAACGGGGGAGCAGTGAAAGTTCCACCTTCAGTTTTATGGTTTCTGATGTAGAATGAGGAAAAGTTTCTTTCCTTCAACTTAAAGGCGGGTGAGTTAAGCTTTTGTAGGCAGGAACCCACTTTTATTAGATGCTTACATTTCCATTGTTACTTGAGGCTTTTACTGCATTCTACTCAAATGCAGACAAAAAGCTCCATGGATTACAGTACTTTGCTCTTTCTCTGACTTTTTGGCTCTCTCTTTCAAACTTTGTTCTATGGATAAGGGAGGCTGCATGGCTGGACAGCTAAATGAATTGCACTCTGAAGACGTGAAGGAAAAAGAGGCAGAGTAAATAGTTGCAAGCAAAGCAATGTGGATTAGACTCTTGGACCAGTTGGGGCATCAAAAGAACCTAAAAGAGTCCAGGAGGGATGAGCTGTTATGCTAGTTACCCTTCAACTTTGGGTTATTCACAGGAGAAGCAGTAGGGTATTGTCTGTTGCAAGCACCACGTGGGGCGAAAAAAGGTAACTAACTCTAACCCTCTCCCCCCAATTATTTGAATCCTCTGGTGTATTGTGTTGATCTCATCCTCTGGGTCTGGTATTTGTGGCCTTCAGTCAGTTTATATGTACAGATATTTATGTAAAACCCTTTCTCGCTGCTCGGTGCCAGCTGTTCCACATTTTCCAGCTGCCACTTCGGTTTGAAATGATGAGCTGTTTGCTTCTCAGCCTAACAGCCCTTTTAAAACCTAAAATATAGGTGACTGTCCATTTGGACAAGGTAGTGTTAAACAAGTCAGCGTTAAACTAGTTAAGCATATATGGTGAGTCCTCTTTTTGTCATTATTGGCATTAAAGTTTATTTTTTTAAAGACTTGTCAGTTTTGATATTAGAGCTTGCAGTTTTAATTTCATTTGAATGGGTCAAAGAAAAACTCAGCAGATTCCAAACCTTTTGAAATACATGGTTCATTAAATTGCCATCTGGTTTTAAGAGGAATGCATTTAGTGCCTCTTTTAGTGTTCATATCATGCTAAAGTACTAACAGAAGAACTTATTTGGATCCTCAGAACACCAAGGAGTGATTAAGCTTATTTTTGAGGAAGGTGAAATAAGAATGAATTGTATACCTCAGCCTTCCCTATTATAGCCTGAAATCAGCTAAGTAGCTTTAACAGTTTGGAGTATTTATGTGGTTATAGTTTTAATTTAGAAAGGTGCCTTGATGATTGATACTTGTAATTGTTTCCTCTAGGCTCTTTATTAAAAATTAATTGGATCTGACATTTTATTAATTGCAAATCTTAAAAATTATTTTGAGAAGAAAAAATACAATGTTTAAAAGTAAAGAATTCTAATTATTCTATGAAATACTGCCTTAATGCTTGGTAGAGTCGCAGCTCCCTATAAAAATTAACCACAGATAGCTCCACCAGTGTAAAATGTATAAACTATTTCAAAAATGTATTTATGAAATATTGCTCACAACAAACTGATGGACAACTTTTAAATAAATTAATTTGCAGCCTAATTTAAAACAAATTTTAGGTAAGTGACTTGATTGTAGAAATCTGTTGTTTTTATTTTTTTTTAAACTTCTATTCTCTGCATATTATTTACTTACTTAGTAGAAGTAAATCCTACTGAGATAAATGGAAATTATTACTAGTCAAGCAAATATATATAGAAGATTGAGTTCTTAAGAAATGTTTACCAGGGAATAAATCTCAATGAAATCAGTGTGTTATGATTTATTTAAAAATTTAAAAATTTATGTTTGGAATCAGAGTGATGGAATTCTAATGTATATGAATCTGAACAGGAAACCTATCTAGTTAGTAGAACTGTATTTCAAACTTTGTGTAATTTATGTTAAACCGCTATACATACTAATCAGTATAACATTGTTTAATGAAGCACTTACCTAAATAAGAAGGGCTAAATCAAATAAGGTACTGCATGTATTATTGACGTAAAATTGTAAAAAAAAAAAGTGTACGTTAGCCAACACAACTAAAGTCTGCATGTATATCTAAAAAAAATCAAATCGTTGAAATGAAAATGGTTTATAGCAGTTTCAGACATTTTCGGTTACTTTCTTAAGAAATACTAGTTATCAGTCAGACCTGGTTGTAAAGAAGCAGCATTTTGTCTGTGTAAGATATTCATTCTCAGCTTTTGTTGCAAATAGAACAGTTAGAACATTTGCTTCAAATGTTGAAAAGTTAACATTTCTTTGGGAAGGGTTCAACTTTCTGCTGTAATGACTAGCTTTCTATTGATAAAGTAAATGATACTTTATTTTACTTACTATTTGCTGACAGTACTTTTTAAAGTACATAACTTTTTAAAAAAAATTCTCCCTGACTTGCTGATAATTATTTGCATATATTACAGTGTTGTTCTGCATCCTGCAAAGGTGTTTATTTGATGTAGGAAAGCATTTTTGAAAATGTTTTCCAATTTATCCTCTGATAGGTATTAAATAAGGAGATGTGTTCTGATGAGGAGAGGACCAAGAGTTATGAAAGGAAATGGTTGAATAGCCATTGTTGCATGTATTCTGTAGTGAAGAGACAGTAATGTACTAAGAAGTAGTAGACTGGAAGCAAGAGTGAATCAATGAGTCATGAAATCCTTAGGAAGACCTTAGTAATGGAATGTTAATGCTTTTAGACTATAGTAGATTATCTCAAAAGTCAGTTTTCTCTACTATATGCAATTGTAGTAAATCCCCTGAGCTGAAGCGATACTTTGAAGAAGGCTTTACTATCACTGGCCCACATATTGTGCAGTTTATTTGATTTGTTTTGAAGATATCAATACATACTTAGTCTGATGAGCTTAGCCTGCAATGAGGAACTAAGATGTTATAATAGCCCAAGGATTGTTGTGGTGGTTTTTACAATAGTTTCCACTGTTGTAAATAATTTTAAGCATCTGTTTAATCAAAATATTTCTAAACATACACCTTCACCCTTCCTTCTTTACATTTTCTGTTATGTTTATATTAGTAGTGGGAATGGATTTGTTAAAAGCAAAATAGAGGGAGATGGAATAAACAAAAAAAGTGGGACACTGCAAAACTTTTTAAAAAGTTCTCTCTGTTTTCCTCATCTTTGATTTGATAGGTCTGTGCAATAGAGCTGTAGACTGGCAAAGACTTTAAATGAAATTTTACACTTTGATGATTTTTTTCAACTTTGATATATTGACAGCAAAAGGAGCTGCAAAGCTTTTATATAACTTGAGCACTAACGCCAAGCAGCAGTCAAACGTCTCTCAGCATTTGTGTTTAACTGCAGAAGAAAAACATGTCCATGGGCAGTTGAGGTTCTTATCAACTCCCTAATCCCAGATCCCAGCAAACCTTGAGGGCATGCCTCAGATCTTGCTGAAATCATTGTAGACTCTCTCACAGTTTGCAGATTAAATATGCTATGTGTTCCTGGCTCCAACAGCAGTTTTATGAGCTTACTAAGCTTCCTGTTTTAAGATCTCTTTTTTTTCCTGAAGTTTTTAGGAGCTGCTAAAGGCAATGTTGTCTGGGCTGAGTGGCTCTTTTTTAATTTAGAGACAGTTCGGATATTTTATTCTGTCTGTAAAAATAGACCAAATGGATATTTTTAAATTGGAAGAGTATCTACATTGAAGGAGCAGCTGCA